AAATTCCGGAAATCAAAAAAGTACTGTTGACTTCTGTTTGTTGCTGGGGTTGGGCTCGCCTTGGTTGAGTTATGCATCTGGCAATGCATTAAACCACAGATGAATAAACTGGCCTCTCATCTGTGAAAAAAACAATAAAAAAGTTCACTTGGGATAGCCCAAAGATACTCTGCAAGTGCCCAAGGCCTACATCAGCGAACACAGCTGTATCTGCCTTCGTCACAACAGATGCTACACCGCACCAAAGCCCAGTTCATCATCCAAACCGAGAATACATCCACTCACCGCTCCCAGTGATAGACCCTTACTAGTGGTAGACACTTGCTATGCACCATCTACAGATTAGAGATGATAGCAGTGCTTTGGGGACTAGTGACTATTTCTCTTGCACACACTTTCTCTCCTGGTATAACCCAACTCAATTATTAAACACCAGATCAACCAGCTGTATTAGGAGTCCACTCCCGCCAGCCTTATGCACCTGATTCCAATACCACGCCTCGACACTCTTTTATCGGCTTTTGCTAGACCCCTTGCAAAGTAGTGTCGTATGTTAGCAAACTCAGCCCTTGGTCGCTAGCCTCTAGAGTACAAATTTATCTATTTCCTACTCCATATAATCACTTACCATCACCCTAATTGCAGCAGGCGTCAAGTTTTCCCCCCTGTGTTCATTAATGGATATTATCCCATTTTATATCCCCACAACTTCACCATGTTTTGCGAATCTCCTTCCATCCCATCATCCATGAGGATAGATGCCAAAAAAGATTTAGGCATCTGGGTCTCCTCAAACTTGTCCTTCGCACTACACCATGAGAAATCGGCCCAAAAGGCATTCGCCGTTTTACGGATGATCCGACGTACCTTCTCCCGTATTACTCGCATGGACTTCCAAATACTCAATGGGGCCTACGTCAGACCGCTCCTGGAGTACGCCAACAAAGTTGTCTACTCAGGACGTACGAAAGACGTTACCCTCATTGAGCGTGTCCAGCGGGCCGCCACGAGAATAGTTGCCGGCCTCAAGTCCGTGGACTACGAAACGCGTCGCGCGAGCATACTGCCTCGCGCTGAGAACATAAAGAGCAGTGCTACACCCTTTTTTCGCTTGTGCCTTTCAGGTGAACGACAGCCACTGACCGACAAGAACAAAACCGACCCGGGAAACTTGGGCAAAAGCCTCGATCCTGTGTATCAATCCGTGAATCCGTGAATCTTCCCAAGCTTCAAACTTCGGAAGTACCCGTTTTGAACGACCTGGTTAGCTGATACCCACTCCACCTGGACTATGACCTACAACTCCGGGATCGCTAAGCGGACCACAAAAAACCCTACAATCCTATATCGGCCTCGTTCCACCTTGCTCCCCTGGCCAGGCTGAAATGAATACCGCCGCCCAATGAACTACACACCCCAGCCGAATGATCTCAAATGCGACGTCCATCACGGAGCTGTCCAACATCTGAAGCATGTCAGGCAAATGATGGTACGGCAATGCCACACTCAGTTTGATAGCACACCCGCAACTGTTCTATTCCTCCTCCTAAACGAGCCCACTTGCCTATGCGATTCATTGACCCCAACCACCACCATGCCATTCATTCCAACCTATTGGACTTCTCGTTCGAATCCAACCACCTTTGTGTCCTCATCCAACCTAACCCCAGCACTTAACTTTCCTACAAAAGTGCAACCAGTGAGTCTGCTTGTTCTCAGAGTGCACCATATTTTGGAGACTAAACTTGCCATGTTTGCCCAATTCGAATTATCGCATCTCCACCTCCACTTTATCCCGTTATGACTCCGGCCATTTACCCAACTGCCCAGGGTCACTCGTGGCCAGCAGTGGTCTTCCAGTTTTAGTTCATGTCAACCGACTGAGCCTTTGAATTAGTTGGACCTCATGCGCATTGTTCACTACAAGTTGCGAAAGAAACCTGTTACCATTGCTTCATCGAATACTCCTCGCTGTTCATAACGTTGTCCTCATTTCGCGGAATCCCCACTAGCCGCAGATCCCCAGTCACATGCCCCATTCTGACTGTAAACGCATGATCATGACCGAAGACATGCCCCCCACAAGTTGGGAAATAAGCATTGTCATCAAGGTGCACCTAGTTGTTGTAACCTCACGCCCTCAAAACAGGTTTTATTAGTGTCTCTTTCTGGCCTTCCGATTTGCCAAGCGGCTTTGTTTTTAACAAAAGAAAACACTTATAGAGGCCACTTGTTCAAGTGAGTGTTCATTAATATTGAGGCGTTCAACGCGTACACAATTGGAAGCAGGCCAATGGCTTTACTGGGCCACTTTGATCGTAGCGGAGGAAGCCGGGGTTAATGATTGTTGCTGTAAACTTCACCGACTTGGGTTTTCGGAAATATACCGACTTTATCCGTGGAGATAAGAGACCCATTCCGGGTGTTGATTTATCTCATATCTCCCAAAATTCCTCCTCGAATCTGTTTATCTCCTGGAGCTTTGGAGGGTTCTGTGATTTAAAGCTTGCTATACTACCTTTACTTTTCCAAGTTTTTCGCTGTCCATCACAGGGAATCTAATGACAATAAACATATGGTGAGTCGTCCCCTTCATCAGCATTCCTGTGATATCGGTGTATGGGCTTCAAAGTGTCCAAAAGTTGGAGGCCACCCCCCTGATGAGACGCTTCTGGATTTAGATATACTGAACTCCATCTGTTTTTCTGTTGTGACATTGTGAGTAAAGTCAGTCACGTGTGCGCTGGCCGAACGGCAATTACACACGCCATAAGCATTCTGGCGCCGTCAGCAACTTGAGGCATGACTCCGATCACTATTTACTTTTGGCCTAAATTCCGTGGATGTATATATCGATTCCATCAACGTTTCTTCTAACATTATGCGTTGACGTCAGCGTCAATAAGAGTTGGTAGCGAGGGTGTCCCAATATGACAATGTTTTCACTTGAAGAATAAGTGGCGGTTGGTTGTTCCCTGAATAGATGCCTGCCCGCTTTTCGTCTAGGGATGTTGCTGTATTCAGCTCGCGAGAAGTGAGTCACTGACTGCACATGCTACCCACGGAAACTCTCGAAAATACGGCAACGTCAGTCGATAACAAATAGGTGAGCAACCCAGGAAACCATTTATGCAACCACACAAGAGCATTATCTCTGGCGTAATATACCATAATGTCGCGAAAACCAGCGAAGTATAAAGTCCGCCTATTTCGCTTACCCTCAACAATTCTGGGGAAATCAATGGCTAACGCCTTAACGCCCTCGTCTAAAACCATCGATAAAGGGTCTTTTGCATTTTTTATCTTGGGACCCGAACTTTTTGATGTTTTGTGGGCGACCAAGGATCTATAAAATGGACGGAGCCACATACGCAACTAGAGAAGTGGTGTTCCTCTAACTTCCATAATAGTTATATTCCCTCGGTATCGACTCTTCTCGGGGCTTCGGATAGTGTAGCGATTCCGGGTTTCAATGGCTAACGAAGTGCCCGGCGATGGCGCGGAAAATTCTGCATGTTTCGCGCAAAATGCTCCCTGGAAGTATGTGCTAGGTAGATAGACTAGCGTTCATTGTTTAGGGCAGCGGTTGCGCGTAAAATGCTTAAGCGTGGTTCAGAATATCTTCAAAGCACGATTGTAGTACAAAACACACAGCTGCTGACAAGGCCAACCAGCCTCGAACAAAATGTCAGCCACCCCCTGCACCATGTGTGCTACTGACTTTAGCCACACTGCATGAGTGAGTGATTTTGCAGCAGTTTCCCACGTGAAACGAAAACGATGCCCATTGATTTTGAACAGCACATCCACAAGAGTCAGTGAGCATAACCGGAAAAGAGGCGGCTTGTATGTATGTTTACGTTCGAAGATGTGGAAGTCTCGATAAAAACTTATCAGATGCTAATCGTCTCACGCCCATGGTGCATGCAGGATCATGATGGGTTCGATGAAGCTTTGCGCGCGCTCAACGTGGACAGGTTGACTGAATTCCAGGAGGCTTCGCTATCATCTGCTGACTCGGTGGGAACAAATTTTGAAAAAAAAACCGAAAGGCCAAGGCGCCGGACTGAAAAAAAACAGAAAGGCCAAGGGCGCCGGTCTTTTGAAGTCAAACCTACTGTTTTTGGCACAGGACCGTCCTCAGTGTGCCGAATTCCGCAAGCGTGGGTAAGTCTCGCGGAGGTGCAGCACACACCGCTGCACATGGAGAGAGATCCTATAAGACCACGTCGTAAACATTTGGTATAGAATGGAACGGGCTGGAATCCAACTCTCTTTGCCTGATTATTGCTTGCACTCCCAGCATGACTCGAGGAACACATAACCAACTAGTGGGCGAATACAGAGGATGCGTAAATGTTGTGTAAAGCAAGCGGCATGTACACGTTCCGGTTCCGTGAAAGAGGTGGGACAACACAAGTTGACTATTCAGAATTCCGACCCATGCGATAAATTCCTCACAAAACTATGGTCGTTTTGTTTCGATTTATGTTTGAGGCGGCTCAGCGAAAGATTGTAGCCCATTATAAGGTTTGGTCAATTCCTGTCTACCTGGAAGGCACATCATGCTCTACACGTCCCAGCTCACGTCGGTTTGCGTCGGATGTCCGTAAAAATTACCGCGTGGTTAGGGCTAACAAGCCTTTCAGCACAACTAATATTTATCCGATGTGATATCAGGCGAATCCGGAGCCCATTAATCGCACAATGCTCCCAGCTGCAAAACATTTGGTGTAGCGCAAAACTTTCTGTGCCGTAATGCTGAATTTTGTTGTGTTTGTGTGTTCAGTTCAGAAACCATCCCATTTCACTTTCATACTTTTGCAGCTCACCAAATTACATCGTCCAGTGAAGCAATAATGCCTCTTGTGGAAAAAGTCTAGTGCAATATTTTCACAGCATTTCTGAGACCCCGGAATGCCTAAATGCCTAAACGGGGCTCAGAATTTTGGACTGGTACTCTGAAACTAAATACCCGATTGATTTAGTGCGTCAGGGACATGCAATATATTTCGGAGTTTCAATTCCATTGTGCGGACACTGAGCTCCAACCCGGAGCCCATCGAGGGGAGAAAGCTCCGAAACGTGCGCAAAGGCCCACCGGCAAGAAAATTGAAGTTGGTGTGAAGTTCAACTTTGTGGAGAATTGTCACACACGGTGCAGCTAAGATACAGATGTGGATATTTATTTGAAATCAATAGCACCTCCATCTCCGAGATTTCACATATATTGTTTAAATCACTTGTCTGGCTGATCTGCGCGGGCTTGCGTTCTACCTTCTGTCCTCGCAATGGTTGGTTCATTGTCCAGCTGATAATCTTTTGTTACAGGAGTTGATGTTACCAGAGAAATTTCAACACATTTTGCGTGTAATGAACACAAACATTGATGGGCAACGGAAAATAATGTATGCTATCTGCGCAATTAAGGGTTGCGGTCGCCGATATGCCACCGTTGTCTGCAAGAAGGCCGACATAGACTTAAACAAGCGCGCTGGGGAACTTACCGATGATGAAGTCGAAAAATTAGTGACTGTAATGGGGAATCCGAGGCAATACAAGGTACCCGTTTGGTTCTTGAATAGACAACGTGACATCGAAGACGGAAAAAGTTCCCAACTTATGTCTGGCGCGCTTGAAACAAAGCTACGCGAGGATCTTGAACGACTAAAGCGGATACGCGCTCACCGAGGTGTTCGGCACTATTGGGGGTGAGTTGGATATTGATCCACTGCTTCTATACATCCTCTGTTCATTCTGTTTAAAAGATTATACACGATGTTGGCTGTCCTAGCTCCTAAGTTGAATTGCCTTTCAGGCTATCCTTGGTAAGGCAGTTTGAACCACGACCACTGGATTTTTCGAGGCATCTGAAGGGAAGGAGTGGAAGGTGATGGAATACAGACATTGATGGTGCTTATGGTGTTACAAGTGTCAGGGGCTGGCCTAACGAACAGTGCCGCTGACGGCTTCTGGGTGGTATCCACTAGACCGAGATAAGTTGATGAGTGGCGAAAACACCCACCACCCCGACTATGGTGGTTCGGTTAGTTATACTCCTAGCGTGACTGCCTAACGAGACCAGAGTCCGTGCCATCTTCAGAATACCGCAAACTGCGGGGTGGACAACGTGCGACTTGGCGAAATATGTGGGGGAAGGTTTTGAGAGGCTTGCCTGTTGTTGGTTTGTGAAGATGATCGTTCAGCCGTAGTTCACTTTCGGTGCTTACCTGTCATGCCCCCAAGTGGGCGTGACTGCCTAACGAGACCAGAGTCCGTGCCATCTTCAGAATACCGCAAACTGCGGGGTGGACAACGTGCGACTTGGCGAAATATGTGGGGGAAGGTTTTGAGAGGCTTGCCTGTTGTTGGTTTGTGAAGATGATCGTTCAGCCGTAGTTCACTTTCGGTGCTTACCTGTCATGCCCGTGGAAGGAAGCACGAAGGCTGGGGTATTGCCAGGTTGTCCAAGCCTGGACGGCGGAAGTCGTATCACGGAACTGCTGGCCAGTGAATTCGCGCCCTAGACAGCCATCTCGCCTCTGTTGGTGTATTCCGCCTCTCGAAATTTGGTCCCGGTAACCTTTTAGGCTTGGCTGGAAACTTCGTAAATACACGGAATTCATTTGTCCGACCCAATGAACTCATGCTTGGTGTGTTCTGGGATGGAGAACGAATCCTCAGTCAGTGGCTATTTCCCGTCCCTCCACCAGAGTGAAAACCGTCCCTACCAACCGCGGTGAGTCAGTGGTCCTTTTTCAAGAAGTGTTCACGAGTGTGGATGCCACAAGTCAATTAGCTTGAGTCCTCTGAGACCAGATTCTCAGCGTGAATTTACTGACCTGAAGGTCTGTGGCTCGAACCCTATCTCTGACTTTCGAGTTCCCCTGTCTAGGCTTGGGTGGCAGTATCCCAGCCCTTGTGCAATCTTCGGGCGGCATGGCAGTTAGGCACCTAAAGGATGCTACAGCTGCGTTTCTTCTCTGCTTCATCATCATCATTAAAGACACTGGAGAGGGGACCTAGTGCTAGCTGCGCCGCTCATTTTGCACGGCGATATGTGAAACCGTGACCCGAGGGCAGGATTTCGGCCACAAAGGTGTCCCATTAACCATATCTTTCTACTCTGTCCCGAACCAAAGCTGGCATTTTGACGTTGGCAGCTTGAGTTTTGGCTGGGACTGCTTGCTGCAGGCAGACGTAACAAGAGGTTAAAAGGAAGCTCTCAGACCGACAGCAGCGAGACCCAGTAGTATGGATAATCACGTAACGAGGTTGTTCTGGGGCAAAGTCCTGCTGTGTTCTCTTGGTTGGAGTGTGAAGTCAATAGGGTGTTTACCCCAGGCGACAAGCGAGTTCATGTTTATGGGAGCACCAACATCGCCTTCCCCCGAAGAAGGATTACTGGGCAAATTTGGGCTTTAGAAACATTCGGACTGTTCAACAGTTGACCGCGACTACCGGTTGGTTATCAGGTTATCTGGGTGTTCGCACCCAGCCTCAGCATCTCGACTGCTTCTGTCCAGGCCTGCGCAATTTGAGAGTATCGCAGCCTTGATGCTTCATCTGGGTGACATGGCAGCTAGGCACTTAAAGGATGTTACTACTGGGCGATTGTTGCTGACACGATAGTGAGGAGGGCCTTACCATGGTGCAGCGGTTTGCGCAGCTCAGCGACCCACTGTCGCGGGGATACCCACCAAGTCCGCCATACCAGGCTGGTCAATCGTCATAGTTCTGACGAACACTCCTGATCCATCAGGTTGGAGGTTGGAACATGTGGCGACTTGTTGTGTAGGAGTGGTAGCCCATTTGCATTTCCCGCCAAGCAACGCTACCTTGCGATTATGCTTTTGAGTAAAGTTTTTGGTTGAAGACCCCAATCATCCTCCTGTTTAGGTGTGGGCGCCCTGACTGTCCCAACCATAACAGCCAAAAATACTCATACCACATCGGCCGTCCCATGATGCCATCAGTCGGGTCGCCTTACTCGTTGCATACAGCAGGGTGGGTAAGCAAAAACAGGCTACTGCTGACACCTTACCTTCTCTTTTTGCCCTCTCTCCCCACCTCACGAATAGCCCTGCCCTTGTAGGCGCAGCAGTTTGGAGTGATGACTCCGTTCGTCTTACATCGGTTTTGCGTGCAGCATCAGCTCGTCACATGGCGCCGCATCATCACATTGACAGCATGACATCGGTGTTCAGCACCGATGCCCCACTGCCGTACTTTGTACGTGGGCTGGGATACTGCCAGGGCGCCCACACCTAGACAACTGGACGCTTAGGGTCCTCAACCAAACCCTTTGGCTTAAAAGCCCGACCGCAAGACAGCAGTGTTTGGCGGGAAACACGAGTGCATTTCAGTTTGTACAGAACAAATCGCCACATTTTGCAAACCCCAACCTGGAGGGCCAGGAGACTGCGTTCGTCAGATCTCTTACCACTGACCAACCTGGTATGAGACTGAGTGTCGTGGGACACTCCCCATTATAGCTCAATGGGTCGCTGAGGTGCGAAAACCGTCACACCACGGTAAGGTCCAGTCTTTTCAAACCTCGACACCCAGTCTATCTGACCCCGTTTGATTTCCCCACTCTGAAGCAAGCAGGGCAACAAGCTGCTATTGCTCCCACACAGGACTCGCTTGGTATTGGTGTGTGCTGTATCTCAGAAGCAATTAGAGATGCAAGCACTGATTGAGTTGACTGCCCCACTCTGGCATTCACTCGCTTCCGGCTACGCACCTCCGGTGATCCAGAGGATGCTGCGGAATGTGCAGGGGTTGGAATCGTCCTAAGTCGCCGGGCAGATGTGTCCTCGCTTCACTGGATACCTGTTGATAGTTGTATCTTCCGGTTCGTCTGGCAACGTCTTTAAAGGGGTCTCACAAGCGTCAAGTTGATAGATGTCGTGTCTGCTTACGCTCCAACTGACTAGCTCAGATGCCGTCAAAGACAGGTTTTATGACACCCTGAATTCCCTGCTGAGGCGAGCTAAAACCTCATTGTGGTGGTTGCTGGAGATTTGAATGCTTGAGTGGACAGGTTTAACGTATCTCAACTAGAGGTCGATTGGGTCGGACTCGGTACGTAAGAACAGTGGGGAACGATTGCTTCAGCTATGTGCTGATCAGAGGCTGCTTTTTGCAGTACTACCGAAATAGTTGAATTCGTCCGGCCACATGGTGTCCCAACGACAGACGGGTCACAAACTCAAATCGATCACATCGCCATCAGTTGTCGATTGGATGGATCAATAACTGACTGCCTTTCATTTTAGAGCACATTTGTGGATTCAGACCACGCGCTCGTCCGGTTTAGCTTCTCTCTACGTTTTCCAGGGCTGCGTAAGGTGCAGACAAATCGCTTGACAACTGAAAGACTGGCAAAAACCAGAATCGTCTTAATAATAATAATCGTTCAGCTGTAGCGCCCTTTCGGTGCCTAGCTGCCATGCCACCCGAAGGAAGCACGAGGGCTGGGATACTGTCAGGTTGCCCAAGCCTAGACAGGGGAAGTCGAGTGGCGGAGGTCGGGTTCGAACCACGGACCTTCCGGTCAGTAAATTCGTGCTCTAACCACTTGAGCCATCGTCTTATAGAGTCTCTTCCGAAGGCTCCACCATCAAATGCGAACTCATACTGGGACGAGATTGCTACTTCTTTGCATAGTTCTGGGAATATTGTTTGTGGCACAACACCATGCTCACTCAGACACCAGATATAGGACCGAACGATGACACTGCTTAGCTCTCAGAGATATATCCCAGCCGGTCCCGAACGTAACTTGATGTGACGAATTATCAGACGTCAAGTGAAAGCGAGCCTGCGAGCCGACCGTGAAGTATGGTGGACACAAAGCCTAGGAACTAGAAAAGGCCCAGAAAGCCGGTATTGCCCGAAGATTATTTCGGTTGATCCGTGCGACCGGCCTCCGGAAACCACCTGTGAGCGAACCATCAAGGATCGAAGGGGAGTGACCATCTCGAATAAAGAAGAACACCTCCACCGTTGGGTCGAATGATTCGAAGAACAATTGTCATGGCCACCAGCTGGCTTCCATCTGGAGCCCACAGGTGACTGAGAACCCTGGACGGTAAACGTGGAATCTACGGTCTCGGAGGTTTATGACTGCATATGTTCTCTTAAGCGTCACCGAGCCTCTGGTCCGGATAATCTCCCACCGGCATAGATCAAAGGTGGGGATGAAATCTTAAGTCAGCGCTTGTCTGATCTGTTTGTTTTCATTCGTCAAAAGGAATCTGTTTCAGGCAACTGGGGAGAGTCCTCGATAGTGCCCGTTTTTTAAAAGGGGGCTTGCAGTGAAACCACAGGGGGATCAGCTTGATCCCGGTCGTAACGAGACTGCTGGTGTCACTTGTGCTTCTTCGCCTTACGGTGGCTGGTGAAACACTGACTCGAGAGCAGCCAGCGGAATTCCGGCATGGTAGGGGTTGCGTTGACCAAATCTTTACACCCGTCAGGTGCTAGAACAACGCCGTACGTATAAGCGCCCAACAATTCTAGTGTTTCTGGATTTCCAAGGCGCATTAGACTCGGATGACCGGTTTGTTCTGCTTGAGCCGCTTGCTCAGATGTCCCGCAAGTTCATGAACATAATGTGAAGGTAGATGTTGAGTTCTCCAAAAGCTTCGGAAAGTAAAGTGGTGTCCGTAGGTATNGGTTTAACTTGATGGTCAATGGAATCATGGAACGAACGCTGGAAGATATCCAAGACCCCGGTGTCCAGATAACCTGTGAAGGAAGCATAGAGGCATGCTCCTGGACATGCAGTCACTGAACGTGCCACCTACAATCCAGGGAGAGGTACTGGAAGCTGTGGAGCGTTTTGTGTATCTTGGGAGGTGTATTAGTTCTGATTGTAGTGTGACCGATAAGATCAATGCACGAACCTGCAAGGCTGATTTGAGACACCTATGAATCTCAGGGGATGTGCGTGTCAAGCTAAGTGCGGGTTGTTTTTTTGTATGGCTGTGAGACTGGCCCGTTCGAGACGTCGACGATCGCTATCTCAGTACCATAGCTCATATGGGTCGGTGTCAGCGCCTCTAACGAGGCAGTTAGAAAGTGAGTTTTCGGCTGTGCAACGGGTACTTCAATGGAAGAATGTGTTCAGCACCAGAAGCTGCGTTGGTTGGGACATATATTGTGTGTACCCAACCATAATTTGCGGAAGAGTGTTGTTTTCCATGCCCGGTGCAGACTTGCAGAAGCAAAGAGGTGGCAACCCTTGATGTGGCAGAGGGGTATGAAAGAAATCACTAAGCGCTTGGGCGCTGTTGGTACTACTCGTCTCCCCGGATGGGGACCGCGTGATCCTCACTGCGTTTGGTTGGGACGCTGCAAGATATGGCTGCCAACTGATGTCAGTTGCGATCTTGTAAGTTTCTATCCAGACTGCCTAAATGTGTGTTTGTAGGTGTAGGCACCTTGGGTTGATTGTAGTAAGCTGGCACTGAATCCCTTCCCCATCCACGTTTATTTTTTTCTTCACAATAAGGCTTTCAAATAAGTCATGGTTGTATGGCAGCGAATCATCGGTGTTGAACACCGATGTCTTGGTGTCGATGATGATGATGACCGGAGTCCTCATTTTCAGATCTCTTCGAGCGCGAATCTTTTCGTTTTAAGGAAAGCTCTTCCCATTCCGGTTTAACTTGATGGTCAATGGAATCATGGAACGAACGCTGGAAGATATCCAAGACCCCGGTGTCCAGATAACCTGTGAAGGAAGCATAGAGGCATGCTCCTGGACATGCAGTCACTGAACGTGCCACCTACAATCCAGGGAGAGGTACTGGAAGCTGTGGAGCGTTTTGTGTATCTTGGGAGGTGTATTAGTTCTGATTGTAGTGTGACCGATAAGATCAATGCACGAACCTGCAAGGCTGATTTGAGACACCTATGAATCTCAGGGGATGTGCGTGTCAAGCTAAGTGCGGGTTGTTTTTTTGTATGGCTGTGAGACTGGCCCGTTCGAGACGTCGACGATCGCTATCTCAGTACCATAGCTCATATGGGTCGGTGTCAGCGCCTCTAACGGGGCAGTTAGAAAGGGAGTTTTCGGCTGTGCAACGGGAACTTCAATGGAAGAATGTGTTCAGCACCAGAAGCTGCGTTGGTTGGGACATATATTGTGTGTACCCAACCATAATTTGCGGAAGAGTGTTGTTTTCCATGCCCGGTGCAGACTTGCAGAAGCAAAGAGGTGGCAACCCTTGATGTGGCAGAGGGGTATGAAAGAAATCACTAAGCGCTTGGGCGCTGTTGGTACTACTCGTCTCCCCGGATGGGGACCGCGTGATCCTCACTGCGTTTGGTTGGGACGCTGCAAGATATGGCTGCCAACTGATGTCAGTTGCGATCTTGTAAGTTTCTATCCAGACTGCCTAAATGTGTGTTTGTAGGTGTAGGCACCTTGGGTTGATTGTAGTAAGCTGGCACTGAATCCCTTCCCCATCCACGTTTATTTTTTTCTTCACAATAAGGCTTTCAAATAAGTCATGGTTGTATGGCAGCGAATCATCGGTGTTGAACACAGATGTCATGCTGTCGATGATGATGATGACCGGAGTCCTCATTTTCAGATCTCTTCGAGCGCGAATCTTTTCGTTTTAAGGAAAGAAGCGCAAGCGTTACTATGAACAGTGTACGTTTGGCGACAGTTGAGTGATTCCAGGTCGAGATTGGAAGGAAGACGGAATAGGATGGCGCAATCTACGCTTTACTCGTGCAACAGCTATAGTACACGAGCTGTTAATGATATATGAGGAGTATGGTTTACGTATTTATGACACCAGGGTCATCCACTTGTTGGGCATGTGTTCCGCGCATTGCACGGTTTTGCATCTAGGCGTACTGTCTCCCTTATGACGAAACGAAGTATTTCGGTTTTGGGGCTATGATCCTTCGAAAGAGCAACGGAATGGAAACCTTAAGTTACCAGGATGGAGGTGTTTCTTGCGGGCTTCGTATCTGCATAAGATCTGTGAGTACCACTTGCACTCATACCGAACGTCTCAGAGCGTTCAACACCCAAGACCACTAGCAATATAGCAGTTGGAGTACTAGGGTATGCTCCTATAATGGACTGAGCCAATAAACCAATATTATTGGTACTACCTACCTACCATAAACGTACATATGAGCCTTATTCACTGCTGCGTGTTGTGTCTACCACCTTCGTTTCCGCCGGAGAAATCTCTGTCCTTTGTGCTTTTGACGCATATTAACAGTAGCTGATAATGATGTTAGTGGGTCGTTCAGTCGATTCATGCACGCCTTATCTGTGAACGTATATCGACATTCATCTTGCTCTTACGAGACTTTTTCCATGTTCCGTAAATGTTTCCACCACCGTATAAAGTATCAGACTGGGATTTTCAGTCCTCGTTCACAAACCCAGGTAATGGAAGCTAGGTTTGTTGGCTGGTCTACTCTTTTGGACAGCTGCATGAACCTTGACTACAACTGGCAAAATTCGTATATGATAGTTAGCTGTTAGAATAGTCTCGACAAACCCTAGAAGGCCTGCTAACAAACCGACCACTGACCTCTCAAATTGAACGCATTCAGTTGCCTGGGTGATGTGGCCATAATTTCTCGCAGTGCGTAAGGATGTTGATGCGTCCACCCAATAAGTATCGCTTACTAAGTTATTTCATGTTTTGGCGTAGCAACAATAGCTGTGTGGCACGCATGCTATGGAGAAATACCACCACTGATTGATTACATTTTTATGTGGATTCTTGAGGTGCCTAGAGGAAACCACTTCTGTATTCCTAAGTAATATTGTCCTGTTTTTTGTTTTAGTCTGCGGGTTCGTGGTCAACGCACGAAGACTACCGGTCGTCGTGGACGCACCGTTGGTGTGTCGAGGAAGAAATAAAGGCTTGTAATTTATACTTAAGATACAGGATGATGCTGATCGACTTGGCCTTTTTGTTGTTTCTGGGTTATTATATGTGAAGCATCGGTGTTGAACACAGATGTCATGCTGTCGATGATGATGATAATATGTGGTGAGCTGCCACATTTTTGCACTGTCAACTGCTGTGATTCAGCCATGTGTTACGCATATCAAAACATCGCGACCGATATAAGTATAATTCTCAACACTTTCAACATAGCGCAAACTACGAGATGGACAAATGTGTGACGGTATCAAGATCCGGAATTGACTATGAAGAGTTCGTTTGGTGCGGTCCGCCTTTCACTACGGGGTCTTTTTAAGCCCCTTGCGTTTGGCTGTCGCGGATTACTTTGGAGACGTAGGCACGTGAGAGTGCTTGGGACAGACTGGCACCAGATCCCTTTATCCACTGTTTCTGACCTAATACAATCGAGTAAACCCTGTGGGCGGACGTCAGTAAAGCATCGGTGTTTATCTGATGAGTTTTGTGCCACGTGTTGATTGTGACGTTCACTCAGTGCATGGAGCTCATCTAGAGCCACATTAAGCTCCCCGAAAACGCAATTTCCCATTAGGTTTAATTTCATTTTGGCCTCTCTGGAAGGTCAGGCTCTTGGTCATGCCTATAAGTCCAAACCAACTGTTTCTTTAGCAATCATTCTGGACAGTCTGCTACTGTCCATATTTGAGAACATTAAAAATATGGAGACGGGAGTACTGGTTCTTCTACCATTTATTTACCAACTTCTGGCCCATATATTTTCTGGAATTTCTATACAGATGGAGCATATCTTCAGGTCTGTTCACATAGAAATCAATTATTTCCGGAGTTTCAAAGAATATCCCCATGGTTTTTTTTCGTATCAGTTGACTAGTACCCAACTGGAATGGAAAACAGTGTTCCGCGTTTATCGCTAATGGGGAATGTCTTCCGCATGTTTAAACAGCGTTGGTCAATCTGCAACGAGTTCTCTTTGACTGCTATACTCTGTTCCAACGAGACTTTGTTGCGTCTCAGGCGTGAAAGGCTGACTTGTGTTTGGTCTAGTTTGTCCTTCATTTGTCGAATGGCCTGGCGGATTTGCATGATTTCCTCCTGGAGACTAAAACGCAAAAGGTGGTAGATGTGTCATTTAATTCAAGGGCTTTGCGAGATTCTATTGCAGACCGACCATTGATTGCGATTCAACAAACAGAATGTCCTAAGTCCGTACGCCGTTTAGTTTGAGGAGAAATTCTGGAGGCCTTCCGTTTGCTGCGGGTTCGTGATTATTTCAATGCGACCTGAATAGCTCAGGGTATGCGTCAGGCCTAGATGGGTGTAGGTTATATGGGCTCTACTTCGAGTAGGGATTCTCAGTTACACGCCTCACTCATTTGAACTTGCAACCGGAACCCATGCCTTGGTAATCAGCGGAGATTGGTGTGCGGCACTCACTAATAGCCTCACGGAGTTCACAGCGCTCTAGCTAGGTAAGCCAAACAAACATCCGTAGGGTTGTCCAGTTGTTCCCATACTTGACCCAGTATTGACCAAGTAAAGGATCCTGTCATAGTGTCTGGCAATTAATACCTGGGATATTGACAGTTTGAAGTGATTTCAGTTAAACTAGACTCACATCACGATCGATCGGGTTTCGGACCGTTTTGTGTACACTCAACGGTCAGTCTGATTACGGCTGGAAACACTGCTGTTTGAAGTTGTGCGCTACTTACAAGTTTGAGGTCATAAAACATAGGAATGGTCGTTCTAGGACACAGATGTGGTCACCAGACTTGCGTAGGGAACAACAGGCGTACAGTTCGCAACCCAGTGTGTTGCAGTTCGAAAACATACATTCCAATAATATTTCACATTGGATGTTGTGACCTATCTGACCGTCCGAGGCATGTCTGTCTTTCCGACCGTTTTATGAATGGAAATACCACAAGAGTTTTGCCTCCGGAATTCTACACATGTAACTAGTACTTTCTAAGTGGACTTAGTGGTCTTCTATTGAAGGACCTCTTCAGGTCAGCACCTCTTAGACAAAGGGCATCGACTTCTTGCCAGATCTAGATGTCAACGTGTTGTCATGCCTAATCCCTGTTCCTACTTCCCTGATGAGTGCAGGACTAGGACAGCTGGGGATGCGGTATGCGTCATCAAGACATGGACTCAATTCTCTGACCTGTGCCGTATCTTCAGCTAAAGCTGAAGAACACTGTCTAGAAAGTATCCTAATCCCGGGCAACAGTACACCTGTAATGAAAATTGCCACACAGTCACTGGAGAGAAAAGGATTTATCTCAGGAAGTTATATCCTTGGTGGGAAACGTCCAGGGTGCTCACACCATCCACAATTCAAAGGAACACCTGGGCAGCATCCTCGGATGAGGTGCCCCCGTGGGATCAACTCAGTATCCTTCGCGAATCCTATACAGCACAATCCCAGGTCACGGACGCGCGCTAAGTAGACATTTCGGTGATAAGGCTGGTGTCGTCCTCCAACAACTCATGGTGAATATCATGGACTCCATCCAAGGAGACACGAAAGGCCTGTGGTGTCCAACGTGGACGGAGTCGCTTTCGTTCCGCGTTAGTGTTTCGGGGACCGTTCACGAGCCTTCTGCCAGCAAGGATTTGGAGTAGATTAATTGGCCCTAGTTTTAAGGGACGCTTAACTATTCCCAGATTAGTTGTAACAACCTAGGCAAGGTAAGACAAAGACTTTCCTTGAATAACGCCTCACCTGGCCCTGCGACCCGATAACGTTTCAAGACAGGAAGGCACATATGTATTTCAGAACCTGAAGTACTATCTAAGTTCGCCCATGATGGTTCGATTTAAATGAGTCGAAGGATTTAGCTACGGAGACAGACGACCACTAAAACACACCAGCACCTTTGATGACCTCACTAACAACCTGCACTTTGTATCCCTTTTGTGTAAAACACCTGTCGCATGTTCGTAGCCTTATCGGCTTGCAGCGCAGAAAGCTCTCATTCCAATAGATATTTCATCCTGCAAGTGAAGTTTGTCCTTGTGAAAAAGCCGAGGAGCACTGTGCAGCTGTTCCCGCCTTCATGGGAATCATCATGCATCTTATGAACCTCCGGAACGGTTAGTCACGAGGGATTATACTCTTCGGCCACCCTCTGCCGATCCACATGCGAGTCCCTACAATTCCCTTCTCAGTCTAAAGCTGCCATCTTTGCCCAGTGGTCGGGATTGAGTGTTGCAGTGATCTCGCGGGTTGAACTGGCTGGAACTATGTACCACGAGGTGCAACCATATCAGGAGGGCCAAAAAGAGAGCAGGCAGACCAAGAGCAGCAAGGTCTCGTGTCCTCTGTTCGCTCGATGGAAGTGGGAAGTCAGTAATGTGTTCCTCTAAGGTGACCAGCATGTCCATATTTATGGGAACACTAACGAGGAAGGACTACTGAGTACGGGTGGGCCCTGTACTACAGGCCCTAAAAACCGCACACTCGGGTCGTTCAACAGTTGGCCGTGATTACCGGTTGGTCATCCAATACGGTCGAAAACAAAAACCTCTCCATGAGCTCGGTACGGCTCCAAACGCATCTGTTGTACATGGCAGCATCGAGGATGAGACATCCATGCTTTATCCTTGGCACTAGGCGGGCCCGTTGCAGTCGAACAACGAACGACCCTTCCAATAGCGCTCTGACTAGCTGATTCTGATCACTGATTTTCAACACTAACACTCGCACTCCGTAATCTGTGGGAAATTAATGCTATGCGGGTGGCGGGAACGTCAATGGAGAGGGTAATGTAAAAAATGGGTGTTCTGGTGGTGTTCACTGCTGTATGTCCCACCTCCGATACGATCAGATGACCTTCGGATATCGGTGAGGTCGCTAGTCTTGACTGATGCTGGGAAATACACACCAACAGACGAGTACGGTGGCAACTGCAAACCCCTTTCGACTGCAAAGTGTAGAGTGCTGTTGCGCGAGTGGGTGGGCTAGAACCCGAACCTCATTGGCTTGTGGATAGGCCGATTGAGGCAGCAGATTATTTCGTATACATGAGTATCTGTATCAGCCCCTGTGGTCTAACCAGATGCGTTCTTCCATCCGGATTGGGAGGTTCAGGACAGTTTTTGCAATCTCTGTGGGCTTACGGACCGAGTTTAAATGTGTTTGCGTCCCACATTGTTATATGGGTGGCTGGCCGACTCACACCTAAGTTTTTAAAATACTTTCAGTGTTTGACCGTCGTTGTCTTCGGAGAATTGTCAAAGTCTGATGGGAATAGGGGGTTTAAATGCTGAACTGTGTAGAATGGTTTTCGAAGGAAATAACTCACCCACTATAGATGAACTGATCACATTTCACGGCCTGGTCACGTGCTCCTTATACCAGTCCACCGACATCCTTGGAGAGCCGTTTTGGCACATAGTTTCCCCTCCCAATCTTTCCAGTGTAAGGTTCACTGTCCCTCATGGATTCACATCTCAATGATATTTTTGCTGCTTGCGATGCGTAAAGTTACATTCTTGTCTCCCCGTATTCCTGGCGAACAAAATTATGTGGTTATAACCACCGTGCAACATGAACGCGGTTTTACGTCGATGATTCTCCTTCCGTTTCTTATTTACTCTAGCTTCTTCCTCCATGGTGGAATGCCAATAAGTCAGCAATGTTTGCTGTCACTGTCCATGGTGACGGTGACTGCATCAGAATGGATCATGCACGATAGCTACTACATTTCATTACATGATTATGACGAAGCTGGTTATATTAGGAAAACATCCACTTCCTCGGATGACCGCTCTCTTCGCCTGACATAGAACCAAATTAAACAATTCAGGCTGAAAATAATAATCATATACTCAACTCACCTCTTCATCGGGTCATCATAACACAGTTCAACATTCTGTCTCCTAGTTCTTTCAGCCAAGCGGGTCTCAGCAAGCTTAAGGGGTTTCAGCTTGTCTTCCATGCTACCACGAAGGAACTGTTCCAATTGCTCTGTGTCATACAGTTCTTGCATCACCTAAAGGTTAGGTTAGTTTGTGGGGTTACGTGAATGCTCACTCAGGAACCTTTTTCAGAGCGGATCTCAATTGATCTCTTGCAGCTACTGTTTCCGCAATTCGTGTCTGTAGCGCATTATTGACGGTAGTGAACTGGCCGTAAATCGTGCTGTTCACGTTTCGCATGAGACGATCAATGGCATCTCTGAGTTGTTCTGAGGCGACTCGCTGCTTTTGCGATCGCTGCAGATTGCCTTTGGAAAATTCAACCCAGGATCCCGGGATACTGTTTCTGTAGGAATAGATAATCGAAAAGTTATCGTTGCCGTTGACATACTCATACAATTAAGCAGGGGGATTTTTTAATCTTGGAGTTTGAGCAGTGTTCAGATGGCCCTCTTACGTGTTCGTGGTTTTACTCGTATCTGGGTTACCGCTATAAAGTATTGTTTTCTATCCCCGTTCCTGGTAAGCATCACTATCCACTTCATCCCTATCAGACTTACAGAAAATCACCTCTTTTCAGAAGGAGAAATTGGAAATCAGATGCAACTCCATCAGCGCCGCTAGTTTCAGATGACGTCGGACTTGGGGTTCCAGGTGCACCTAACAGCTCTACAAGTTGCTGTTTCATTCCTTGTACCTCACCTATGAAAGAATGTGGACGAACTAAGCCGCATTGTCAGGAAAAACCCACTAGACTTACGTTGTTCAGGAAACATCTGTTGAGCTTACAATGGGCCTCCTTGTGCACGCTATTGCCGCTCTGGACAGGCAGTTCCGAAGAGGGGTTTTAACTCAAATATGCCTCAAAAGTTCCTCCATGGATCGTTGTGAAGTGGTTTCTCAGGGATACTAAAATTTGGTGAGATTTTCTGAAGCTCGGAAGTGTTTCTCCTGCGAGTGGTCTGTCGCGCAGGAGCCAGCATGGAAGATGAGCTGAGCTCATCAGTAGTTCATCTTTCGTGTTTAGGATCCAGCAGGTGGGCGTAGATCACAAACCAAATACATCCCTAATAGACCATCAGCTGGCACATGAATTGAATAGACTTCTCATCTGCATAACGAACGTATGCTCCAGTTGATGCTCCTTTTGGCTTCAACTTAGTTCTCGATTTCAAAGTTTCTCAGCTGGGGATGCTATGCAAACGTATTTCGGAATGCATAAGATATTAAGTTTAATTAGGACACTTCTCACACCGCTTGTTTGATTTGAGATTCTTCTTCATTCATGTGCTAACTTTTGAGTAGATTTGTCACTAAAGTGAAACTTCAAATAGGTGTTCCAATGGTTGGAAGATATACATTCGAAAAGCGAATGAACAAAGACTATAGACGTTCACTGCCGTACACCTCATCTGAAAAATTAAATACGTAAGGTTTGTCCGCTTACGTATCATCCACAAGTTCTATCCCTTCATGTAATTTGATGCCGTCTGAGGAGTTGGATAATCCATATATTCTGTTGTCGATCCGATAAGCGTGGTTTTTGTTGGCCACATCCTTCTGTAATTCTTTTTGGGCTGCTTGACTTAACCTGTAAAATAATGGGTAGCGTGTGGTGTGATTTGTCTGGTCATTTTTAAGTCAATATTACTGAATTAGGTTTCCTTATCGGGTTACGGTTGCTCCTCTTCCGGGTTCCGACGTTCAATGCTGGCTAGTAGTTGGCCAGAATTAAAAATGAAATCTTTTAATAGCGAGTTCCACCATCCCCGTACACAATCCTCAATCCCGTTCATCTTTTTGCATGTGATTACTCAGTCTTTATCCTGACAGGCAACATTGAATTAGACATGCAATTTGGATGTGGCATCATATAAGTCATTCCATCTCGCCACGCCCAAATACAAATATAAACCCGGAGTTAAGGGCACGTAGAACACTGGCTTCATAGATAGCCCATCAATTACTTGATATTGAGCATTCTATCAAATAAGTAGCTGCATTCGATGTTGCGTACAGGATGGCGAACGCTAAGGCGCTGCAGTTGCTGAATCCATCGCCTTCAGAGAATAGAGACCAAAACTGTGTGTATGGAACGCATAGGTTATATCATTGGCATTTCTTAGGGTGGTTAATTTGCCTTCAGCATCCTGATGGTGAAGGCTCTTTTTCTGTTTTAATCATTCACCTGATATTGTTCTCTAGTGACATGTGGATAGATACAGCGAAATACACCGGGAGTATCGTTCACCAATTCATTTCGCTGTGCTGTGTGCTGTCTTCGAAATAGAATAATCGGTTTATAGTTGAGTCAGCATGGATTCATGGGGTTTTTAGAGCAGATTCATGCCAATGTGGATGGCACAAGGACTGTACGAAAGTGCCAATAACAAGAAACAGAAAACAACCTGCCATTGAGTTGCAGGTGGCAAATTTGCCTTCATTTGGCATCCATTCATTTTTGAACCATTTGACATACGGTAACCTCTGTATCTTCGAATCTGGGGATTTCCTCTCAGTAAATTAAGTCCATGATTTGAAGGGCTACTATTCATAGGGTTACTGGAAACTGGTCGACAAACCACGGCTGATTTTGCTCTTCTTGAAGGTAATCAGGTCGGTACAGTCTCATAAATTTCCGTCGACTTTGTGTCCAACTAGAACCCAAACTGTACGCAATTTTCTAGATACAATCATCTGCAAGCGAACCTGGTTTTAACGAAAGACTCGACTGAATACAGCTTGATCTGTCGATTTCGGTGTTCCCCCTGTGCATCAAATTCAGTCACATATTCCAAACGTGAAATTCAGTTGGGTTCAGCCGAGTCTCCCGTTAGAAACCAAATCAGCTTGCAAATTAGTGTACTTCACGAACTGTGTAGAACTGAGGTCCAAGTGAAGCATAGATTTGACGGAACCTGGAGACTGCTTAACTGATGAACCTCAAGAAGGGCGAAATAGACCGTCGGCTGTCAGAGATTTCAGTAACCGTATAGGTAGTGTTCCTTCAAGGGCATAAACGGCACTATTTCGAATGTCGTACTAACTGGAACATGAAACAGGCTTTGTGCAGAACATATTTGAGGAATAGCATAAACGCTAGGTTCATCTGTTCTCAAGGCCCAAAAAACGGTGGTGTTAGTGACGGAGTTCTGTTTGTAGGGCAGATGTCTTTCCTCTCAGCCTCAGCCCCTGCAACGCAGCCGAGATAACGCTATACTTCTAAAGATCCAAGGTGAATGCAGATGGCAGGAATTTCCAGTGCGCCTTAATGTATTGGAAAATTTTAGAAATATGATTAGTCTTAGCATAAATGGTTTTGTTTTCCGTATCGTACTGAAATAAGCGGCAAACACATGTTTCAAGAAAATTGAACTTACTTCAGTTGTATTTCCCCTTTTTCTGAATGTTGCTCCACCTGATTCATACATTCTTTAATCACCTGGATTTCCTGTCAAATAAAAATTCAATGGAGTGAACACCGCCCTATAAAATAGATTCGAATAGTACGATGCAGAGGTTTGCCATGTTTCCAGAATCTCACCTATCTGCAACTTTGAAGTTTCTCGCTATTCGGACGCTTCCCATTGTAACTGATCGTTATCCACAATGCTAGCGTGAGAACACTTGACTTCAACTGCTACCACTCTCGCTTGGCAGTAAGCTTGTTGCGCCGGTAAATTTTATCAGCATGTAAGTAGTCTCAGTTAGCTTCCAGCATTTTGAGACAAGGGGGGCTCGGTGGCAGAACTAACAAAACCCTACCGAAGTAATTTGAATACCACTGTAGACTTTTTTCTTTCTGAATTACACATGACCGATCATCATCATCATCATCATCATCATCATCATCATCATCATCATCGACAGCATGAAATCAGTGTTCAACACCGATGCTTCACTGCCGTACAACCATGACTTATTTGAAAGCCTTATTGTAGAGAAAAGAATAAAG